CAAAATGGCGGATAGATATAGATATAATATAGATATAATAGATGTAATTTTTTTAACTAAATGAAAGACGTTGAGAAAACATTTTGTAAAATAAATTCGTAAATTTCAGAATTAATCGCGAATCAAATTCAACAATTTTCTGTAAAATTTTAAGCTCAAAAGGAAAATAAATTGTATAAAATTTAGTTAATTTTTATGGTTTGATACTTGAAAATAGTAACAATAGAGCAAAATATAACGAGTTTTTTCTTTGTTTTACAAGATCTCCAGTGGTGACGTGCATAAAATCACTGCTGAATACTGGTAACTGATTGTGGGTCTGCGCCTGGACAATGGACTGGTCAAGTCGAGTTCTCCGTGTTTTTCTTAGTAACACCTATACAGGAGTGAGTTTCTGATAAATGGCCTCCCAGCAGTCATTCTCCTCAGCAGATGACCGATATTTTGCATGCTGTATTATGAATAAAACATAACGTTTGTTCCATAATGATTATTTAAATTACGCGTAGAATTAGGAAACAGAAATGTTGCTTTTTATCTGAACATTTTAATTTTAATTTATAATTATTCTCAGTGTATTTCATAGTTTTTAAGAAGTTCTCGCTAATAGCCGAAGAACGAACTACTAAACCCTGGTTGTTTGTCGAAGATTCGCACCCACTAGCGGGTATTGTTTCCCGTGTGTAATATTGGACGTTAATCATAGGAATAAAACCCGAAAAAAAACCAAAAAACCGGATGATACAAGTGTTGTTATACCAATCTGGGGGGCCAGAAACAATCCGGACAAGTCGAAAACCGAAGAATTTTTCCAGAGGTAAACCCATTCTTCATCCAACCCCTCCATTGTGAGCATAGCCGAACTCATAATAAAGGAAGGAAAGTAAAAATTTCAAATAAATAATGGCTAGTTTTTTTTAATGGAAATTCCTTGTAGGAGGCACTTCTTTCCATTGTCAGATCGCTTCTAACAATCCAATTCACGTTTTTTGGTATAATAAATTGTTGTTATGCTACTAAATTGAGTCGCAAAACATTCGTTTTCTTAAAGATGAACGTTACATCTTAAAAGTATTTGAATTGTAATTATCTTTTTACATAAGAAATTTTTCTATTGTACATATGAATTTTGAGATTATTTTGTACCGTTTAATTATAACTTTTTCCTGAAAATTAAAGTCAATCCTCAATTTAGGCCATTTTTGTCAACGCTAACTACCCTCGAAAGCACTTAAAATACTGAAAATACTTAAATTAGCTTGTTTCCAGCATGATATACATGCTTGTGTGACATTATCAATTACACTTACTTTCATGCCAAAAATTCGCATTAAATGATGTAAATAAATATGATTAGTAAATATAGAGTTGCTATAATTAAAGTTTATCAATCTGCTTACAGATTTAGTGCTGTGAATAAAGAAACTAATTACGGCTACCCTGTATACACCAATAAAGCTATAATCCATTTACTAGATACAATGGTAAATTTTACTCACATTTTTTCAAAAATTGAACAATGTGATGAAAATTGAAACTTTTTTTATCTGTGTCAACGTCTTTCCAATGCAGAAGCTGTCCAGATTTCAATAACACTAGCTTACTCTCAGGAGTACATGCAATATTTTCATTTTTTTGAAGAGTATCATTCAATAAAGATACAATTGACGATGAGCTGGAGTACCTATCAGATTTCTGCCCATTATCTTTCTCAATTTTTTCAACAGTACCTGTTACTGAAGAAGATGACAATTCTAATGATTTCTCACGTTCATTCTCTTGTGATTTCATAGAACAGATATAAAGATTTTGTTTAGCTTGTTCTTTGGTACATTTACCATTAATAATTTGTAATAATTCATCCGAGTCTATGCCAAAACTGACATCACAAACTCTTTTTGTTGGCAGATAATTATCCACTATAATGACTGGCGCATTTTTTTTTTCTTTCACGGACACACTGATTTTTCTGCGTGACAATTATTATTTTCAGGATTATTGGTAATTAATTTCGATTTTGAAAGTAGTGTATTGTCTATATCTATATTGTAAATGGCAGATTTTTCAACGGTTTTTAACATTGAATCGTCTATTTTTAATTAATGGATCCAATTATGTATTCACGATTGAATTGTATTTGTGCTGTGGCTCTCGAACAACATCCGAAGGACCGAAGTTTGACCGGGTTCAATACTAATAACGCCTACAAATTATACAAATAAAATGAGTATTAAAATAAGGTGACAGAAAAGTTAACATTTCTCTAATGTTATAATTTGAACTAAACGTTCAAACAAAACAAGAAGTTTCTAAATAATCGTTAAACTAATTATTAACTATTCGTGCTTAAAAGTTACAGTAGAGCGTCGTTTATCCGAATCGATTGGGGACTGGGGTGGTTCAAATAACTTATTTTTCGAATAACGAATCATGTACGAAAAAATATATTAATTTATCCCGAGTTTGAAATTTTTCTCCGTTGTGTGTCGCTACGCGTTGAATTTTCGTCGATGTTAAGCCTACCAAAGACTATTGTATCGTTAAAAATTATTTCTTTATTCTGTACAAACAAAATAAATATATTGAAAAATATAAAAACAAAAAAAA